TGTGGATCCCGCATATCAAAGCAGTCACCGCAAGCTGAGATAAACAATGACACGGCAATGGGGGGACCAAGCCGTGAGACACTAACGCTTTTTCCTGTATTCCTCGGGAATAGGAACATGAGCAAGCGGTGCCTTAACATTGTGACTCATAACAATGGACGCACAGTACTGGACTCACTGGACGCACATGCTCCTCGTGTAATGCAAAAGTCAGAATATGCCCTTAAGTGTTAGAATCCAAACACGGAGAGACACATTCCCTAAAGCGCTGCTCGACTCACCAGAATAATGCTTCATACAAGCTGAACAAACAGACGGCTCCCGAAGACAACAAAAGTTGGTGACGTGTTCTGCAGGTGCCCTCTTATACTTCCGGGTGCCCACCTGTGACGTCACAGGCTACGTGGACCAATTGGATTGGAGTTGTTTCACACGTGCTTCAGACACTGGTCCTGCTGGCAGCAGTCCCCATAGTGTCCGCTAGAGGATGCTGCTTTAAGTACTACAGTGCATCTCATCCTCATGGACTGCACCAGATTTGTTGGTTCTTGAACTGTGATGTTACCGCACTCACCAAGGCACTTGCAAGTTCTAAAACACGTCTCCCTGTTGCACTGTCTTAGGCATCTTACATTATGGACATTGCAGTTCATTGCTCTGGCTACATCTGTAGTCCTCATACCTCCTGGCAGCAGGACTATGGCATGCTCACAAAGGTGAGCAGAACCCTGGGCATCTTTCTTCTGGTGTTTTTCACAGCCAGTAGAAAGGTTTATTTATTGTCCTAAGTTATTACAATTGTAACTTTAATTGCGTACTGTTTTAAATACTGTTCCACAGGTGCATGTGCAAAAATTGTTTATGATTCACTGAACAAATATATTTATGTTCAATGAACTTTGTTTAAACCATTTCCAAAAAGGGTCTGTAAAACTCATTTGGATTTTACAAAATTATCTTTATATACTCTAAAATACAGTATCCTAAAAAAGGGATGGTTCTTCAGTTCTCATATCTGCTAGATAGGATGCCTTTTATGACTCAAAGTGAAAGTTTTGACTCTCACTTAATTCACTTTGAAACAGATAAATAATTACTCATATTATACATAATAACACAATTCATAGACCAACCCTTCTGTGAAAGAACAAGCATATTCACAGGAAATTGTGTATATTATCACTTTTCTGTATTTTGTATTTCGTATTGTATACTGTTTATGCATGCTTCATGATTGAACCCTAGTTAATGTAACCTCTTACATATAATACTTGATATCAAAATAATCCTCATTTAAGTTCCTATTCACTGGTGTATATCACCCCTTATAATGTGCATTGTAAGCTTATTATATTAATCAGACTATAAAGAGCCATTAAACTGCTAGCCCACTCTGATCATGCAAACGAGTCAGCTTACAAAAAAAAAAAAAACATATCTTCCCACTTGAAGTTACACCTTTTGCATTGGCCAAACCAAACTTAGGAGGTGTGACCTGTGCAGAAGCTAAAAGGCCTTTACATCTATGACCCTAACTCTCTTCAGTCTCTCTTCTGGTTGCTGTTCTTGTGGAAAAGACTGGAGATATCTGGTCTGACAATGATGCCGCTGGACCTCAAAGTTACAACAAGGCATGTTTGCAACTTTTTAGAGAACTCTACCAACCACAAATGAGTCAAACTAACATTTCATAAGTCAGTCATTCTTCAACTCGGAAGAAACTGTTGTAACTTCACCACCACTGAACTATCGAACCGTCCAATGCATAGTTGATATAAAAAACTGGATGACTAGTAATTTCCTACTGCTAAATTCTGAAAAAACAACAAAACAGAGATTTTAATTATTGGACCAAAAACCTCTGCATGTAATAAACTAAAACACTGTCTAACACTTGATGGCTGCTCTGTTAATTCTTCGTCATCAGTTAGAAATCTAGGTGTGCTTTTTGATAGCAATCTTTCCTTTGAAAACCATGTTTCTAGCATTTGTAAAACTACATTTTTCCATCTTAAAAAATATCTAAATTACGACCTATGCTCTCAATTTCATTTATTTATTTATTTATCAAATGCGTTCATGACCTCAAGTTTAGATTATTCTAATGCTTTATTGGGTAATTGCTCTGCGCGATTAATAAACAAACTCCAGCTGGTCCAAAATGCAGAAGTTAGAGTTATTACTAGAACCAGGAAGTACGACCATATTAGCCCGGTTCTGTCAACTCTGCACCGGCTCCCTATTGAACAACAATGCCATAAATGCCATGTGACTAATCACTTTAGCGCTGCAGGAAAATTATGCTATTAAATTATTGGCTCATGGCGTATCCATTAGACATTTTTAAAAGACCTCTAAAAATCTCTTTTGTCAAAATACAGATAATTTTTACTGGCCATTAATGACGAAAGAACTTTGCCGCAAGTGACGTTATAGCTTCTACTATAACTACAGTCTAACTAATCTCTTTCCAACAATGTACTCCCCTATCCATTCACATGACTTCCCCTCTGATTTTGCACCTGGTACTTTTGCCTATATCTATGAGCTACTCAAAAAATCTAATCCATCTTTCTGTCATCTTGATCCTGCTCCTACTGCTCTACTCAAAAACTCTGCACCTGTTATTTCGCGACCTATTTCACTTCTCATTTCTCAACTTCTCAGCACTGGTGCTGTTCCTCTTGAATTAAAAACTGCAGCTGTCACACCAGTCTTAAAGAAACCCCGCCTTGATCCTACTGATATGGCCAATTAGAGACCAATTTCACATCTTCCGCTTCTTTCAAAGCTACTTGAAAAAGTTGTTGCTGCTCAACGTCAGTCATATTTGTCATCTCATAACCTCTATGAATGTTTCCAGTCCGGTTTTCGCACTCTTCACAGCACTGAGACAGCACTTCTTAAGGTTGTCAATGATCTCCTTATGGCCACTTACTCAGGCTCTATTAGCATTTTAATTCTGTTAGATCTTTCCTCTGCTTTTGACACTATCTCTCATAGTATTCTCATCTCACGACTCTCTGTTTTTGGTATTTATGGAACTGCCCTATCTTGGTTCACTTCTTACCTGTCTGGCCATCAGCATTACATTGCTGTCCACCAGGCTAAGTCCTCTACTGCTCCTGTCTCTCACGGTGTTCCTCAGGGTTCTGTTCTTGGGCCTTTACTCTTCATCATCTATATGCTCCCTTTAGGTAACATTATCCGTCATCACGGTTTCAACTTCCACTGCTATGCAGAAGACACCCAACTCTATATCAGTTCTCAACACAACTCTCCCTTTCCCACCAACTCCATATCAGCTTGTATTAATGATATAAATGCTTGGATGACCAGTAACTTTCTCAAACTCAACACTGATAAAACAGATCTACTACTTGTCGGTTCACCAAAAAATGTTGCTCCTTTCTGTGCTGACAATGTTAATATTGCTGGGATCTTGGTTCGACCTTCCACCACCGTTAAAAACCTGGGCATAATCTTTGACTCCTCTCTCTCCTTCCTACCTCACATTTCATCACTCACTAAATCTGCCTTCTTTCACCTCAGTAATATCGCTCGCTTACGTCCCTTCTTAAATATCAATGATGCTGAGACACGCCTTCATGCCTTCATTACTTCTCGACTCGACTACTGTAATTATCTTTTCTATGGTCTACCAAACACAACATTAAATAAGCTCCAATATATCCAGAACTCTGCAGCTAGCGTTCTCACTTTTTCAAAGAAATCTTCTCACATTACTCCCATCCTACAGACTTCATTGGCTACCCGTTCATTTTCGTACATTACTCCCATCCTACACAGACTTCATTGGCTACCCGTTCGTTTTCGTATTCAATACAAGATTCTCCTCATCACCTTCAAAGCACTTCATGGTCTTGCCCCCCCATATATTTCTGATCTCATTCATACTTACTCCCCAGTTCGCACACTATGCTCTTCAGATACTGGTCTACTGTTAATTCCACGCCACAGGTTGGCATTGTTTGGTGGACGAGCGTTTTGTATCTCTGCCCCCACACTCTGGAATTCTATTCCCAAACACATTTGTGATCTTTTTTCATTACAGAATTTCAAAACCCACCTTAAAACATATATTTTCCTTTCTTGTTTCTCTGATCTCTGACTGCATGATCTGATTCATGCCATGGATTTTATGTTTATCTGTATTTTGTTTGTTTTTTTGTCTGCTGTCATGTTAATCAGTTTTGATATTGTAAAGCGACCTTGCGTTAGCAGAAAGGCGCTATATAAAATAAACTTTATTATTAGTAGTATATTATTATTATTATTATTAACTTGACCACGCTAAACAAACTGGACACTTTGATAATGAGCCTCTTTAATATGTGCAAAAAGGATGAGATTATGATCGAGTGATGAGCAAAATGTATATCCCAATACAATAGTCTTACATTTTTTAGAATAGTAAAAAAACAAAAAACATTGAAAGGTCCTTTGTCCCAAATATATCACAAAGCATATATCAAAGCATATCACAACTTATCTGACCATTCTTTTTTATTATTAGTCATGTAAAATGCATTAAAACAAATGTAGCAAAAATAAAAAAAATACAGATTTTTCTAAAATACTATTTTTGCCAAATATATAAATAAAATAAAAAAAATAACAATAATAATAATAATTGTTGTTTAAACTGTAAAAGGTATGTTAATTGAACTTGTTTAGTTTGGCGTTAATTCTGAAGCAAACTGCTCAGTTTCTCCACATACCTTTTATTGCTGAACAAGCATTATTTAGGAAAGTCAGCATTAGCAGCAGTCAATACGGGGAACAGGGCTTAGCATTGGGTCAGTTTCAAACCATCGATAACAGCTTTCACATTTTCTCTTCCATGGGGAATTGTGGGACAAATTCGTAAAATGTATACTGGTTGTCAAATTTTAAACCTTTAATTTTTTTTTCAACCGATATATTACCCACCCATAAATAAGTCATTTTTTGTGTTTTAATGTGTGCGTTAGACTTACCATCGCTGTAGCCATGGGCAAGCAGGCCATCAGGCGAGGGGGTTTGATGGGAACGCGAGCCGATGGAGTCCAGGCTGTCGAAAGAGTCGTCTCGCACGTGCCTCGGCGGGGAGAGAGAGTCACTGCGCTCGGACTCCCAGCAGTCTATGTAACCACTGTCCCTGATGCTTCGCTTTGGGCTATCCCACTCCTCTGCTTCCTAAGAAACACACAAACACAAAATAAAAATTTTACAAGTTTGCAGCTTAAGATTCCTCCAAGTGGTGTTTCAATATTGAATAACATTAAATAAAGTGAATGATTCATTCTCATTTATTTTCACACAATGACTTTCACAGAAATCTCTCTTGTGACTGCATTTGGCTTTTAGATTCAAACTTTTGACTTTTAGTTTCATCAACTGACAAAATGGAGTAAAAAATAATACATTAACAGATCTGCTTTTTTCAATTGTGGAGAAAAAAGCTTGTGGTGTTTAAATTATTTCTGGAGACAGAAGTACAGTTGAGTGCATCTCAACTTGTGGGTCGCAGGCCTGTGCTGATAAGCTTGAGGAAAAGCAAAACACACTGCGGTGCTAAATGAAAATAATATTAGATTTTTTTTATTTATTTTATGTTAAAAGTACATAACTTGTATATATCCATTCTATTTTAAAAACGTATATTGCTGGAACTATGTAGTTCATGATAATATTACAGTAATAAAATTCAGTGATTGAATTGGGTTGACGCAATATACTAAATAAATTATTGATACTGTGTTACAACTACAGATACAATGATATTGTAAATAATACAAAACAAGTAACCAGTAACTAGTTGACACTCCACAACACTGTTGGTGGTGGTATTGCACGTATTGCAACATTGACTGCCACCCGTTATAAAACAGAAAAAAAGGAGAGGATGAGGATGCAGAGTGTAGCTACTACTCCCCCCAAAAATTAAGCAGTCTTTATACACTTTTGTATAGTTAAACACTGTGTCCACAATGGACACAAGTGGCATAATGTGACAAAGAGACACCATTGTAATCAGTGATACTGTCTACATGGAATGTGATGCAATGTGACACAGTCTGTAAACTGATGCTCCCAAACTTTTGCTTTTTTATGTGTTCAGTGTAGACCAGGGATGCCCAATAGGTCGATCGAGATCCAGTCGATAGATCTACTGGTAGATTGCACATCATTTAAATATGCTTTAGGTAAATAGAGAGTAAATAGTAAATAGAGAGTAAAATAGAGAGATTCAGTGATTATAATGGAACTTTGTGAGATTGTGGTGAACTGAAGTGAGTGACAGCTTTTTAGTGATTACAAAGGGAGTGCTCTTTGCGCTTTCTAGGCTATATAAAATCCATATATAATCCATCATTTATACCTCATTGATGGCATTGTTTGGCTCAACTTATTTATGTGAATCAGCCTTTTCCCACATGAAGATTATTAAATCAAAACAATAATTGAATTGGGCAGGCTTTTTCAGTCTGCCATTACTGATGACAACCCAGATTTTGTAAAACTGATTCAATTCAGTGCAAGTCATCAGAATAAGGCAAAGACCACGGTTAATATGTAATACGATATAAATTCTAGGTTCGAAAGTAAAACCAGAATCAGGGTATCTTCCGATCATTCGTTTTTTAATTTAATATTGAAATTTGAAAAATGAAAAAACGGCACATTTTTTCGTTTTTAATTTGTTCAAAATCAAGAATTTGGCTTCATTTTTCGTTTTTACGTTCAGGGATAGAAAACGAATAAGCAACTTGAATATAGCTTGTTTGCAATCACGTGATTCTGATGACGTGCGAAATGCAGCTGGAGGGCAGGAAGTCATTTGTCTCTATCGGTCTTTGTCAGGTGACGTCACACTCACGAGAATCGAAGTGCATTTTGGGTATCTCCGCCATTTGTAGGGTATCAAAGCCGAGGTGTTCTGTAGTTGGAGAATTGTCTTTTTTATTTGATTTAAAATGGTACGTTCTTGTTGTGTTAAAGTCTGCAATAGTGAATTACATGATAGAAAAGGTCAAAAACTCACCACGAAGAAAGATATTTTAGGTCTCACACTTGAAAAAAAGACTAAACAACAAGAGGCGTCGCCGCGTCAGATGGCCTGGGTTGCAGCGGTGATATGCAAAATCATCATATTTGCCAACATATCTCCGGTTATGTTCGTTTACCCTAGACATTTTCATAAATGTAAGTAAGAGATTTTTTTAGATGTGCTTACTTTCTGTTTTCTGAAGTAGCCAACATTATATTCACATGTTATTTAGGGTCAATGCTATTAAACAGACAACCAGGGAGCAGGTGAGCAGAAACGGGTCATGTAACGTTACCATGAAATGTCTTGCAATCGTTTTATGCATAGGTGTAAAGAGTTATTTTATTTTATTTCACTAACGTTACTGAAATTAAATATTGTTTTTGGGGGTTTGTACTTAACTTAAGTGTAATTTAAACTGAATACTTCACTAAAATACATTTCTAATGTTTCTCATTTTTACTTACAATTTTAAAAAGTACTGACTACATTTTTGTACATTTTCATTTCATATAGTTAGGCTAGGTGTGACTAAACAGTAAGTGGGAGCAGTTAAGAAAAAAACACATTGCAGCCAGCTGAGACGATGACCCACCAGGCTGGAGGAGATGGTCGGCTTCACACCACACCACTCAGTGTCACTAACTGAATGTAACTTACTTGTGTGTGCGCAGAAGAAAACTGACTGCTGTGGCGTAAACTCAGGATGTCTGATAGTTTTTCAGTGATCTTAAAGTAAAGCATTATACAGGTATGCCAAACTTGGGAACCTTTATTACATGGGTTCTCAACTCTGGCCCTTGAGGTCCACTTTACTGCAGAGTTGAGATCCGACCCTAATAAAATACACCTGCACAGGCTAACCAAGATCTTCACGATTACTAGAAAGTTACAGGCAGGTGAGTTTGATTGAGGTTGGAGCTAAATTCTACAGGAAGTGGACTCTGAGGGCTAGAGTTGAGAATCCCTGCCATGAAGGTTTTTATTGCCTTATGCTGCTTTTCATGTCAGAAATAAGAAAAATTCTCACTTCATTTTAAATACTTATGTTAACCTTATGCACCTCAGATTGGATCTGCCTGCACAAACACTGTTTTAGACAACTGTGACCGGCACAAAATTATGCCTCACTAGTTTGTGGAGTCCTTTGGACACAGAATAGCAATGATAGACTGTTTTGAGATTTCCACAGAGAAACCATTCAGTGTGAAAGTGTGTGTCAAAATGTCTTCTACCTACAAGCACTATTTAGTATTTGACAAATCGTCTAGCACTTCTAAGAATCCATGCAGAATTCTTACAATTTTAAAAAGTACTGACTACATTTTTGTACATTTTCATTTCATATAGTTAGGCTAGGTGTGACTAAACAGTAAGTGGGAGCAGTTGCAGCCAGCTGAGACGATGAGCCACCAGGCTGGAGGAGATGGTCGCACACCACTCACACCACTCAGTGTCACTAACTGAATGTAACTTACTTGTGTGCGCGCAGAAGAAAACTGACTGCTGTGGCGTAAACTCAGGATGTCTGATAGTTTTTCAGTGATCTTAAAGTAAAGCATTATACAGGTATGCCAAACTTGGGAACCTTTATTACATGGGTTCTCAACTCTGGCCCTTGAGGTCCACTTTACTGCAGAGTTGAGATCCGACCCTAATAAGCACAGGCTGCACAGGCTAACCAAGATCTTCACGATTACTAGAAAGTTACAGGCAGGTGAGTTTGATTGCTAAATTCTATCACCTCGGATTGGATCTGCCTGCACAAACACTGTTTTAGACAACTGTGACCGGCACAAAATTAGTTTGTGGAGTCCTTTGGACACAGAATAGCAATGATAGACTGTTTTGAGATTTCCACAGAGAAACCATTCAGTGTGAAAGTGTGTGTCAAAATGTCTTCTACCTACAAGCACTATTTAGTATTTGACAGATCGTCTAGCACTTCTAAGAATCCATGCAGAAAGGGTCATCAGAAATGTTTGGCAGAAGCGTCAAATCATATTATTATTATTAGTAATTTATTCAGCTTTCTTTGTAGTACTTGCACTGTCTCAACTTAAGAAAACAGTGTCTTGATGATTCATCATGCTCGTCACATCTTCTATTATGCATTTTGAAACTGATTTTTAACACAGTGTTGCATTAATAATAAAGTATGTATAATGCCATTTTCATAAATGTGTTTTTGATTGTCTCCTTGTTATTAGTACTTATCAGTACTTGTTATCAGCCAAATGAAGTACGGAACATTGTGAACAAACAGGGTAAGGTTTAATGGTAGAGACTCACATGATGTAATTACTTACAATTGTGCAAATTATGTGTGCAAATCAATGGTAGACAAAAACAGAACATATAAGTGTACAAGTAAATAAAATAAGTTTTTATACTGTAAACAAGATAATTATATATCATATATTAAGATATTAATAAAGAAATATATAAATAGATACAGGGTGACACAGTCAGAATTCACTCAATGCTAAACGCCACACGTAGCTAACAGGACCAACTGTACATGCAGCAAAGTTTCAGGAGTGCCATATATTCCTCATCCCTCATACAAATACGGAATTCACTTTCGAAATAGTTTGTTTGCAATCAGGGTTAGTTGCTTAGCTTTTATATCCACTGCAGGCAAGTATTTCAATTTAGTTAAAAAAATCGCTCCTCTTTATAACATAGGGATCACGTCCAACATGCGTTGTGTTTTTCTGTTTATACCTTTCTCTTGTAATAGTGTCTAAACCAGTACAGTACGGACTTTCCTCCATCTCAATCCTTTTTCATTCACTCCTGAAACTTTGCTGCATGTACAGGGTTTGTGGCTGTTGGTTCTGTTCTCTTTTATTCAAATTCTGAATTGATTATAGCCTAGAAAGCGAGCAAATAGCGCTTCCATATAATCACTAAAAAGCTGTCACTCTCTTCAGTTTATCACAATGTCACAATGTTCCGTTATAATGAAATTCTGACTGTGTCACGCTGAATGTGTGAGAGTTGGCAGCCCTGGATTATATATTTCTTTATTATCTTAATATATTATTATTTCTTATATTAACCATTTGCACACATGAGCATTATCCGACTCGACTCCTCCCGAACGCAGACGCAAGTTTACAAGCCACTTTTTCCTGCATTT